CCTTGGGTGCCCCCGCGATGTTCCCTCGCTGTGCCCCCCCGGGCGCGTGTCCGACGCACAAAGTGCCAGCCCCCCCCCCCCCCCCTCTCGCTCTCGGTCCCTCGCGCGTCCCCCCTCTCTTGGGCCCTCCCCGCACCTTCCGGTCTCCGGGTATGGAGAACAATACCAATGCAAATATATGTCCTGCCATCCTCTCCTGGGCTGACTCTCGCTGCCCGTGGTGGGATGGACTTCGGCGCACGCCCAAAAAGAGAGGGCCCACCCGGGGTTGATCCGGGGACCTGTCGATCTGCAGTCGACCGCTCTACCACTGAGCTATAGACCCGTTCACCTGACACTTGACCCTGAGTGAGAGGTTTTAAACAAATGTAACCATAATGTCACCTCCGACGCTGCGTCGGAACTTCGCTCCGCTCACCTCCTCCGCACCTGCCTCACCTCGCCCTGCTTTGTTTTCCCCTGCTGTCGCCTCCCCGCCAAAATTTGGTCACGCCCTCCACGTGATCAAATGGCCGGAGATCCATTTTTCTTTCCCCCTTTCCCCGTAGGTGGGTGTTAGCGTCGCCCGTCAACGATGCAACCCATTCTCTCTCGCTTTCCCCTTCTTTCCCATGTATTTCCTCTTTTCCGGGCACCCCTATATAAGGGCCCCCTTCTCGCGCCTCCCCTCCAAAAGGGCTCAGCACCTTGAAGGATAGTCATTCTCTTTGCGGAGGCCGTGACTACCCGTTTCCCTGCCTCTGTACGTCGCTCCCCTGGAGCGGTGTGACTCAGTCCCTGATGTACTCTCTATAAAGACGCAGATCACCAGCTTTCCTTTCTTTTGTTGTTGTGTCCACGTCCGAGTGGTGACCCTCTCGGGACGGAACACTCTGGGTGGTTCAGGGAAGGCCCTCACCGGTCCCCCAGAATCACACACCAGAACCGGAGTGTTTCAACAAATCCAGCCTCAGACACGAGTGCAGCTATCCCTCTGCCCGTGCTCATCATACACACGCGCACATCCAAGGCTTCATCTGGATCTCCTTCATAAGGTCGCCCTTTCCCCGCCTGTGCCTTGAGCCAGTGTCTCTTGTGTGTGTGTCCGGCGATTTGCCTTCGCGCGCCAAGCATTGCTCAGCATATGACTCCGGCAAGCCGCCAGATTCAGCGGTTCATTGCGGAATCTGACGCTCAACAGCGGCACATTCGGCTCAGATGGTCGAAGCTATCTTCGCCCTCATGTCTGATTGTCCTTACGGATCGGTACCAACCGGCCCCGCTTTTTCCCCTCCTTTTCTAGCCTCGGCCCTTGGGAGATTGCAGGCATGTCTGTTTCGGGTCGTCTCAGCGTGGCAGGGCCAGGATCAATACCTTCTGCCCTCCCCCTCCCCCCCACTCCAGCCAGGGACTGCCGTGGGGATGGCTCAGAGAGAGGCACAGCAGCAGGTGACGGGGACACCAGTACTTGAGTATTCCACCTGCCTGGCTAGGGGGGGGGTTCTCGTTGGTTTTGCCCCACCGGACGCGAGGGCGCCGTGTCTTGGCCATGTTCAGCTCCGATCATCGTCTTCCCTCCACGCCCAGAGGCTTCTCCTTTGGCAGCCCGAGGACTCCGCCTGTCTCGCTAGTTGAATTCCGGGGGGAGGGGGCGGCTCGGCGTCAGGGTCACGAGGGCCGGGAAGAATTGTCCTCCTCGCCCTGACACCCGACGGAAGCCAACTGCAGAGATAAGGCTTTTGAGCCAGCCATCTTGGGGAACAGCACTGTTTGCTGAGCAATATAGTCCCCCCTCTGACCCTCTGTTGAGCCCCCATCCTCCCGCTCTGACCTCCACCAAATGCTCGATGTCGGACTCCTGTCGCTTTGACTGTGGAGATCATTGTTGGTGCGGATGCCCGTCCGCCCATTGGGGCTGGCTGAAGCGATGGCCGCCCTTTCCATGGCTGCCCAGCTGCCAGAAGCCCCTCTCCGGCTGGGTGCCACGCCCCTGGACCGAGTCCCCTGGGTAAGGGTCAATCGTCTGAATTGCATGACCAGCTGCGTGCCATGTACCCTGTCGGGATCTTGCACTCCCTGCCAGCCAGGATACCCCTCCTGCCCAGCGGATACCTCGGTAGACGGACCTATGTGCACTCCTTGTCCGGTTGGCTGCGCAAAATGCACTCTGTTAGACCATTGCACCCGTCGCATTCTCGGCCGACCATCAACAGCAGAGCGCCCTCAGTGCGACTGATTAACCGCAAGGAGCCCATGCCGAAATCACCGGCTGCGATGCCGTCCGATCGGCCACATCAACAGCATCTGGGATAATGCTGTTTGTTTTTTTTTCCTTTTGCACCACTGATACTTCCAGGCATTCAAGTACATGTCGATATTTCCACCTTGAAGACGCCTACGCTTCGGTGGACAGATGCATTGGTTACCGGGCTGCATTTGCCGCGCGTGTCCGGCGGAATCAGCCTACACGTTGCAAACCGCGCCTCATCGCGCATGCGTCCCATTGCTTTGGGGCTTGTCCGAACGCATTCATCGCCCATCAGGGCAAGTGCCCTGCCTGTTTGGATGACTGTGCCAAGAGCGACTCCGGCCACTTCATGCACCAAGGCATTCGCCCCGGCATTTGCCCGTGGGGCTTCTACCCGGGCCATGGCACATGCGCTCCCTTCTCAGAAGGGTGCGATGGATGCACTCTGTCACATGAATGCATCAAAGGCAAGCCCCGGCTCCAAGAGACATAACAACGCTTGGCAGTGGGCCTGCCCAGGCCGGCGGTGCTTTCTCGGCCCCACTCGCATCCAGCATCCTGGCTATTGCGTGGCCCACACCTCGCCGACTCGATGCAGTGCCTGTATCTCTGGGGCGCTACCGGCATCGAGTCACTTGTTTGGCGAGTAGGTACAATGGCACTTTCAAGGATTGTGGGCTCTGGGCCGTTTGTCCGGCAAACTGTGCTGCACGCTTATCTGCCCTTCGAGTGTGCAAGTTGCTCGAGGGGGGGATTTTCTTCATCGACAATCTTACCCTGCCACTTGTTTGAAAAGATTTCTCCCGGCTACGGGGGCTTCTTCATTCCGGCTCGGAAGAGCGGGCCGCTGGCGCATGGGTCGCATCCTGCGAGACATGTACTGCCGGGAGATTCCCGCAGGGCGAGACTTGCCATCGGGGCCGCCTAGTTGGCACACTTTCCCTCTGGCCATAAATACATGTCCTGTTCGGACAGCTGTGTCTGCTCCTTGGTCCCTAGTGCCTATGCCAGTAACATGGTGCTCTTGACAGCCACACAAGCCGGAGAGGACACGCTCCGTATGGCCAATTGCCTACTGGCTCAGAGCACAGGGCATATGCAGTGCGAGCTTTGTGCCAGGGGGTGTCCCGCCTGCCAGTTGGGGTCCCCCGCTGGCGAAGCTGGGAGCTCACTCTGCCTCGAGGGATACAAGTGCGGATTCCCCACGGCCAGTGGCCCAGTACCAGGGCTCAATTGCTGCCTGTCTGCCTGGGCGAATGGCCACTCCCCGCTGTGGTAGGGCGGGCGCATTTGAGCGCCCCCCTCCAATCCCGAGCCCCTACGTACGCCATCTGGTATCGGCTGCCTGCTGCACAATGGTGGCAAGCCCGCGCATTGTACACACGGCACGCGTCGTGTGCTGTTGTGGTCCGCAGAAGCGGCCAGATCCTGTGCAGGCTCCTGCCCGGCGGACAGTGTCGCGGTCGGGCGATCGCACATCGCGTGTGCCGGCTCACGCGAAGACCCCCTTATGTCCTGTGTCCCCCAACAACTAACTGTACATTAATACGTGCCGTCTATTGAACCACTGTCCACCAGAACACTGCCCCGAGGTTGGGTGGGTGAGAGGCCTGCCGGGGAAGTTGCGGCCAGCCTGGCGAGGCACGACGGTGTGCCGCTTGCTCACTACGCCTTCTTCTGGCCGGCGGTCGCAGCCCTACTGTTCAGATGGGATTCTCCTCCACAACGAGGCCCACAACAAAGACACCCGTGGGACCCCGTGCGACGCCTCCTGCGCCGAGTGCGTGGGACCCACTCCGGAGCAGCGAACTCCCCACACTGGACACCGGTCTGACGCAAATGGGCCCTTGCGAAGCTGATTGTCCTGGGGGCTGGGTCGCCTCGGAGGGGGGGGGGGGGG